TAAACCAAGTAGCTCATATATCACACTATATCTACCAAAAACTAACAGACATTCCCGCAGTTCTCCATTTCTAACTAGCGAAAAATCCCACTCACACCCGAATAAAAAATACAGTCCCATTTGAAGCCTTTCTCAAAATCTTAGCCAACCATACATAACTCCCGTAGTGTATCCTCTCCAAAGTATAGACTAAGTTAGCTTAGATATTAGTCTAAAAACAACACCTGTTAAGTTATTTCATCTAGAACAAATAAACGTGTTTTAATAAAAAAATTAAAAAAAACCTCGCGCCAGCTCTATGTAACTAAAATGTTCTTTGCATGGCAATAATCACTTCGTACAGATGACCATTAGTAAGAGAGTCACCAAAACAAAGCCCTGATTTTTTAGTTCATTATTTCGGGGTTGTGAGGGCTTTCTTTGGTGGACCACTTCTAAAAACGCCATTCTTTATTCTTGCAATAGAGAGTTCTGAAATGATAAAACGAGGGCTGTCAGCACCCAACAGTGGTAGAACCTGATATCCAACATTTAAGTATTTCAAGAGAATATCGCGAGTTACCTGTTCTGGGCTTTTCGTTTTTCTACAGGGTGGAGACATAGTTGAAAAAGAAAAAATTAATCGATTTGAACAATTAAACTTAATAGTATGGTACCAAAGGTGTGGACTCCAGCAAACATTTCTTTAATTTTTTTTAGACAACGAGTTTGTTTCATTGTCATAGTTTATAAATGTTATTACTAGAACCTTTCTTTACCCTAAAAGACAGTTTCGTCTTTCACCGCTTTTCTGATGTTTACACACAATTTGAAAACCGTCGCCTTGCGCAGTCGCTGAGCGCGATCTCTGGCGTTCTCTTATAGCCAGGCATAAAACATTGCAACCTTACTTTACTTATCCGCAGAGAACACTTGTGGTCGGCCCAGCATGTAATTGTTGAAGTAGTTTTTCAAAAACAAGATGTGGCCATTAGTATCCTCGTAGCAAGGACTGCAAAAACAAAAGATCATCAAAATACACAATGGCTTTGTCATACCTCAAAAATCGAAAATATTTTAACAGAAACTTGCACAAAATGAATGATATGTATTGCGAAATAATGCAACATTCATTCTTAAATTTATGAAACAAATTCTTTTAATTGTATTGCGATTTATTCTGGGGTCTGACGATGCTACCCTCGGGATACCAGTTCAGGCTTACGATAAACTGATACTGTAGTGTCTCTGGCCGGAATATCCTGTCCGACGATGGCAGGATTTTCGACACTAGCTTGATAGCTAGGTTGAATTCAGCCGCCGTCTGGAGTAAAATTGTAGCAACATGTTGCTCTGCTCGGTAGTTTTCCGTGATTTTTCTGATCAACACCAATCGAATGCCGGAGCAGTACCCTAACAAACCAGCCACGGACTGCGCGCGATATTTCCCTCCCCTTACTTGTCCTATCCTCACCCCCTACACACATATACACTAGTATGCATTACAATACTACACATGTCGGGAGACCAGTCGGGAGCTTGTCCCGGCTGAGGCGGTGTCCCACTGGTGAGAGATACGAGGTTGGGGAGAAAGCCGACGGGTAAGTCGGTGCCGGATCTCGCCATCTCCCGCGATAAAAACATACTCTACACTTACTGGGCTAGTGAGCGGAACCTCTAACGAACGAATTCCTCGATCGCAGGAGGCGTCGTCGGCCGAGGCGGAGGCGGAGGCGCTGCGCGTGGCGGCGCAGCACGCGGCGGTGGAGGCGGCTGCGCGCGACGCGGCGGCCGAGGCGCTGCGCCGCAAGGTGGCCGAGCTGCACGCGGAGGCGGCGGCGGCGCGGGCGGCCAGCGCGCGCGCGCAGAGCCAGCTGGGCTCCGAGCGCCTGCGCGCCGACGCCGACGCGCAGCACGCCGCCTGGTGCCGCGACCAGCTGCGCGCCGCGCAGGAGGCCAAGGTGAGGACGCGCGGCGCCTCGGTTCCCTCCGTGGGTGAAGGAAAAGAGCCTTCTTTAAAATCTTTGATTAATGGCTCAATATTTTCATCTTCCTTCCAACATTTCCGCGATTAAACCATATTCATTTATGAAACAGACACGTGTGATAGCCGTTTACAAAATTGTCACAGAGGTTATTAAAAATCAATATTTTAATAAATGTTTCCCTATAATTATAGAAATAAGTTTGATTTTGTTTATGTTCATACGAACATTTATATTTCACAGTAAATGCTATTGTTTTTATCGAGAAACAAATTACGACTGGGGAACTGACTCTGCTCACTCTGAAAGAATATTTGCGTGACTACTCCAGACACCAGTGTACTCTTATCAGAAGCAATAAACACCTTTATCTTGACGAGAAAAGGAAAGAACTTGTTTTCTTCATAGAAAGTGCTTGCTTTCATTAAATCTTGTTATTGACAAGACAAGCAGAGGAATCAAAATTAATTCGAATTTCGGAAGCACTTGAAGTACATCCGGTCCCTATTGTCCTGTAAAATCGTTTTAAGAGGTCAGTCTATTGAGTGGTACCTCCCGCAAGTGTGGTCTAAATTTGTAGTTCTCAATTGTCTAGGCGTCTTCACACGTCATTACGTCTTCACAGTTTGCCAATCACACTGTCGTGGTTTTCTTCAGGGCCAAAGTGAGATGGAAGCATCGGATCACCTGTCTGCGTCGCAGCCAAAAGGTCACAAACACTCGGAATACGTAACAGATTAATCCGTGCGGGCTGTCTGTTCCTGATTTCGTTTCCGATACGTGTTAATGAATGTCCGTGTCCTTAAGTTCTGACCGCGATTCTGTGTTCCAAGTACCGTCATCTGGAGAGCAGGTCGCGCCCTCGTCCGGACAATGTGAAAACCCAGATGTTGCAAGAGGTGGGAAAGGGTACGACAAACGGACGGCCACCGAGCTACGAACATTAAACCCGACAAATTTGGGCAGGCAAAACATGAGAGTCTTTGGGCAGTCTTCAGTTTACTTGCTCAGGTAGCTCAGGGCAGCAGCTGTTGCTACTGTCACTATGACCAGGAGGTTCTAGAGATAAGAATTCCAGTGGCGGACTTTCGACATCTAGATAGCAGCTAGGTCGAATTTAGCCGCTATCTGTAGAATAATTCTAGTTCCCCCTGGTCTGATTAGCAGTTTTCCTAATAGTTTTTCCAATCAGTACCAGACGAGTTGCTGGAATACCTTGATAAATGGGTCATGAGTGGTGCGCGATTTTCTTTGCCTCTTGCACTACTCTACCACTTATCCCGGGAGCTTATAGTACGATTTATTTAGTCGGGCAATTGACGTAAATCAGCTGTTGAGGTTTCATCCAATCGTGAGTTTATATGTCGCTACAGTGACGTCACTATGGGGGCGTTCAAGCTCCCAATTGGATTAAACCGTAAACAGATGATTTACGTCAAATGCGCAATTAAATAAATCTTAGTATAGAGCTCTCCAAAACACGGATGCTGCCCGTCTGGCGGAGATACCTGGAGGGAGAAATCTCTCGCATGTGGATGGTTATGTCGGCGCTAGATTTCTAGCGGCGGAGAGAAATCGACACCTGCCGAAATATAACACGTTTTGCACTTTTGTTACGGGACTAGTGACCGTAGCTGTTGTCACACCCGGCAACACGAATTAACAATCGACGGTTAATCATAATCACATAATACATAATAATACAATCATGACGGTGCGTAGGCGCGCCTGCAGGCGGAGGCGTCGGCGGCGCGCGAGGCGGCGGCGGGG